AAATAAACTTCTCCTCTAAGTTGTTCTTGTCAGGTATTTTGGTGGCAGGGATGAAAAGATAACTAACACAGTGACTTTATAGATTGTTACAGGAAAATATAGGTAAAATGCCCATTTTTACTCTTCCCCAAACAAAGATGACAGCTGTTGACCCCAGGGCGGTGTGCAAGAACAGGGTCCACAAGGTGAGAAGTGATGTGCCCCAGGGAAGGGAAAGAGGCTTTACACCAGCCAAGGTAGCTACAGGCACCCTGAGCTCCCAGCATGCTGTGGCTGCTGCCCTCCTCTTGTATGTGAGGCCACTTAGTCCACAGGAGAGTCTTGGGCACCGGTAACCGCCTTCCAGGCAGGGGAACTGAAATGCTGAAATCACACAAGTGGCAGGAAGAGGAGCCAGGATTGGACATGAGGCAATCTGGCTTTAGAGCCTGTGCACAACCCTCTGAACTGTCCTGTTCCAGTGTGCTAGAGTGTACTTAAAAGAAAAGCAGCTTCAGTTTCTTATTTAAAAGAGTTTCCCGTGGACCTCTGGGTGCTGGTTGCTTTTCCATTTTGCTGCTTGAGTCTTGAATCATTTTCCTGCAAACAGCACTTTGCACCAGTTTTGAATTTTCAGTGTTTATAAGGAAGTTTTAAGCTTGAATAGCTTTCTGCTATAAAGGTTTTATTTATTGTCTTCTCAAACATTATATCAACTTAATATGCCCTCCACATGACAAGGTTTTATATCATCCTATAAAATAGTTAACTATGAGTACCTTTTATATTTGTAGGTTCTAGAAACCTTTTGGAATACCAGGGTTCTCTTAAATGACTAATTACCTCAAATCAGATGCTTGTGGAATGCCATCCGGCAGGCAGCTGGCTTCGTGTGAAGAGAGCCCAAGAGCTCTTTTTTTGCTTTGTTCATTTAAAGCCATTTGCTGCTGCTTTACTATCTGTGAAGAACCCAGTCACATCCTGGCAGAACACACTGCTGTGAATTTTGGGTTGTCTCTCTGGGCTCTGCCTTATGGCTGCAGGGTGTTGGAAGCCAGTGCTTCCTTCCTTTCTGTGGGCATTAGGGCCTTTGCAATCCAAGTCATGCTGAATACAGAAAACTGCAGGTGAACTGTCTCACCACAGAGGACTGCAGCCTCTTCCTCAGGAACCGAGCTGTTCTGAGCTGATGCTTCGTTCTTTTGCTGTGTATCCTAACTGTATTCCTTCATTATTAAGGACAGGAATGGGGCACTCTGCTTCTGAAAACGAGAGGACCCTGCAAGTCTACCAGAACCTATGGTAAACCCACAGGATACTTGTGTCCCATTCAGAACAGGAAAGATATGTCCTATCTTTTTTAAAAAAATAACTCTTAGCAATTCTTGATTACAAAAAATATATCTAAAAGTTTAAAAAAGAGCCATGAAAATATATTAACTCCTAATTATACACTGGGTACCTATCTACATTATGTACTATTTGTATGAATGTTTGTCATGGTCTCTGCTTATATAAAATGTTTTCTTTGTTGATATTACTTGTGTTTTCTGTTTTTGTCGACTTCACTTGACAGCCTTCAGAGGTTCTTGTTTTTAAAAAATAAAACATGTATTTTACTTTTCCAATTTTTACTCAAAGTTGCTGTAAAATATATGCCAAATAATCTTGAAGGAATTGGCTCTCTACTCATTGGGTTCTATAAATTAAAGACTAAGCATCTGTGTTTGTTTAGAACTGGAGGGGAGAAAGGGAGCTTGGGCAGGTAGGCAGGCAGAATTATAATGGAAGTGCAGTAGCTGTTCTCTTCCTCTTGAGCCAGGGTGGTGTAGTCAGTTCTGTAATGGTGATGCACAATCCTTTTTAAATGTGAGCCTCAGGATACTTCTCAATGCTGTAAAAATGAGTTTCAGTTAGCTGCCATTCTTACCATCTAGCTGCCATTCTTACAGTCCAACAATTCTCAGGTAATTGAGAATTAATTGCAGAAAATTCACATGCCAAACACCAATTCCTTGTAGTTTCTTTTTTTTTTTTTCTTTCTTTTAACTATAGCTACCTTTAGAAATAATATCATATGGGCTCTGAGCCCTGCTTCATCTGGTTTAGGATGTGTCCTGACATTTATAGGATGGCATAGTTGTGTTCTCTGATGTCAGTGCCGTAAATCAGCACGGTGACACCGCCTTTGTTTTAATAGTTTTATTATTCAGACAACATTAATTTCTAAACTTTCAAAACTAACCCTTGAAGTGGGAAATTCTACCAGTTTACTACATATTTTATGTGAGATAATACTTCTCATTTGTCTTATGGATACCATTTTAAAGATTCTGGGAATTTGATAACAGATCTGTAGCCACGCTAATCTCACTTTTCATGGACAATTATATGCTAGCCCCGCAGGTTTTATAGCCAGGAGTGGTTGAATCATTAGAGAGATACGGACTTGGGATCCACTAGACCGAAGTGTGAATCACAGGCTGACATTCTGACCAGCCACATGGACTTTAATAAGCTGATTAATTTGATCCTTAGAATCCTCATCTGTAAAACAAAATGTGCACTTGTTCTTCACAGTAGTTGTGACCATGCATGAAAATCATTCAGGGGAGAGCACCATGCTCAGTGCAGGGACCAGCACATGGGGATAAACACCCACTTCTCCCCGCTTTCCTCAAGAGTATGGTTGGTCGAAATCTGAATCTCTCCAAGCCCTGCATGAGCTGAAGAGCAAGTCAGCACCTAATAGCACATTCACGAAATGCCGTTTTTGAAAGGTTTAACTCAAAAATAAGTTTTCTGTATGTTACTTTTTTCTCCCATCTGAAGATATCACTTGGTAAATGATGAGATGTGTGCCCTACAGATAGATCTCACTCAAGCCCATAATTGCGTCTCATTTTGAGGGGCTGTCCTGCCAGGATCCTGCAGCAGAGCTGAACATCTTCAGTCTGTTGATGCAGCTCATTCATCCACGTGAATCCTGAGTCCCTGAGGCATGGGACTCAGGATGGGGATATTAGCACCTACAGGGCAGTATAAGGGATACAATTAAATAATGTTTATGAGAAAATGTTGACCAAAGGATACGGAATTTCAGTTAGGTGGAATAAATTCAAGAGCTCTATTGTGGTACCAATGATGAATAACAATATGTTGAATTCTTGGAAATCTTAAGAAGTGTTCTCACCACAAGAGAAATGATAAGTATTGGGGTAATGCATACATTAATTGATTCAGTTTAGTCACAATGTGTACATATTTCAAAACATCATTTTCTACATGATAAATGCAAATTATTTTTATTTTTCAACTAAGTAATTAGTTAAAAATAAAAATGTGAAAGTACTGGATGAAACTTAAGATTTATACAAATGTCTGGGAAATTCCAAGTAAGAGATTTGTTTGGGATGAATTTGTTTTCTGATTTAAGGAACTGGCTCTTTGTTCCTTAAAACAAAGATTAAAAGGCAGGTTGAAGATTTATATAGATAGAAGTTTTATATATTTTTATGACCACACAAAGATTTTAATGTTTACCGTTAAAAATATATTATTGAGGGCTAGGGTTGTAACTAAGTGGTAGAGCCCTTGCCTAGCATGTGTGAGGCACTGGGTTTAATTCTCAGCACCATATGTAAATCAATGGATGTGTAACTGATGTGATTCTGCAATCTGTGTATGGGGTGAAGGTGGGAGTTCATAACCCACTTGAATCAAAGTGTGGAATATGATATGTCAAGAAATTTGTAATGTTTTGAACAACCCACAATAATTCTCAGCACCACATAAAAATAAATAAATAAAATATCTATCAATGACTAAAGAAAAATGTTAAAAAATATTTAATTGTGTGGGGGGGGTGTGTATAAAAAAATATTGAGGGTGCAGTGATGCACACCTGTAATCCCAGTGACTTAGGAGGCCAAGGAAGGAGGATCTTAAGTTCAAGACCAACCTTAGCAACTTAACAAGACCCTGTCTCAAAAAATAAAAAGGACTGGGAATAGCTCAGTGGTAGAACTCCCTGAGTTCAATCACAAGTACAAAAAAAAGTTATTAAACAATATATTAGTTGAGCAAATGAAACATAAATTTATAATTCCAGTGTTTTGAATTACTTTTTTTCTGTAGAAACCAGTTGGTCCAGCTATGTATGTTTGTTTTCTACTTTATTCCCAAAAAGGACTCTCACAGGCTGGGTTCAGATCACAGTTGTCACACATGGTCTGATGACAGGACTTAGACATGTCAAGCCAGTTCTTTCTGCTTTGGTTTCAGTTCTGCATCTACATGCTTAAGACACAAGATTCTTCAATAATCTTCAAATACTGCTTAAATTCCCCATTCCACGACTCAGGAGGCCAATTTCCTGCTGTATTCTCTCAGCTTTGAAAGTCACAAAAAATGCCTGTTAGATGTTACCCTGACCTAACAAGTTCTTGACCATGAGTCTGGTGCACGACTTGTCTGCTTGAGCCCTGCCAGGAGAACTCAGCAGTGCCTCTTGGTTCTGAATCACGAGAGCACTCAGGCCATCAAGTGTATCAGAAACGAGCCACAGGTCAGAAATCCATGTGTCAGCTACATATGTGACCTTTAGGGACATTAGCAAAGTTCACCCCATTGGCTGTTTTCAGATCAGCTTGCCGATGGGGGCAGAATAGGCCAACAAATCAGGTTCCACCAAGATCTGTTATTTCTGTGGGTATTAGTGGGGACAGCCAGACTGTCAGCGGTCACACAGGCTAAGTGAACTAAACACTGTGTTATCCTTTTGGAACTGAGAGGCAACTTTTAAGGAATATGATTTACTCTACAAAAATATCTGGACATGGACTAGGGCTGTGGCTCAGTGGTAGAGTGCTTGCCTGACATGTATGAGGCACTGAGTTCGATTCTTAGCACCATGTATAAATAAATGAGTAAAATAAAGGTCCATCAAGGTCTAAAAATAGTTTAAAAAATTTTGGACACTTTCTATGTGCTAATGAGAGAAATACATTGTTTCATTTCAGATTTACAGTGTCAAGTAGAGGCCCTTGGGTTAAGACTTCAGAGGACAGTGACGGAGCTGGACAACTGTAAAGAAATGCTCGCGTAAGCTGTTAACTATTAAACAGAGTGCAAGACTCCAGTGCTCTGTACATGTGCCACAAAAATGAAGAATTTAGAAAGACCCGGGGTGTGCTCTGCTCCCCGGGCAGCCCCTCAGCTGTGTGGGTAATAGTGCGTTGCTGCTTTCCTTTGCTGTCTTGCTGGTCTAGATTGTATGTATTGAAGGACCTGTAAGTATTTTTTAAAACAGAAAGGGTTTATTTTCTTCACTAAGAAAATTATCAGCTGTTTTGTGACCTTTTGGCTAAGATCAAGTATTGAAATTTACCTAGCAATATATTAATGTTTTCCCTGGTTGTTCAGAGGCAAACAATGTGAAATAGTCGCTGAACTTTTTTCTTTATTTTTATACTGTCTATCCATAAGAAGTAGTACTGGAGTTGTTTTGTAACATGGTAGCTTCAAAAAGAAAGCTGAGCAGCTTGGAAATGCTGATGTATTTATATAAATGCAAAATAAAATATTAGACAACAAATGATAAAAATGACCTTGTAAAATATCCAGAGCACTACTACTTTTAACAATTAATTCTTTTAAGAAATTTTGAAAGTTACTTTGTTGTCTAAATATAGCATATCTATAATTATAAAACTAAAAATAGAATGTAAGTAATCTTTGAAATGTAAGTAAATTCTTTTACTTTGTTATATATAATCTGCTAGCTCTGGTTTTCAGTTCCTGTAATTTAGAGGGATGAACCTCATAAGAAATACAAATATTTAGAATGCTTAGCAACCAAATGTTTGTGTTGACCATGGGCTACTCCTAAGAACAATGTGTTTAACAAAGTACTGGACACTGTAAGGAGGAACAAATCCCCAAAATGCTCCATCAAATTAATGCATACCTGGATTATTTGTAGCAAAATAGTGTGGTTATTGAAAGCCAAGAAAAATAAATATTCATGCTGTGTAACATGGAGGTTAATAGTCCAGCAAGCCCAGCAGTTCAGCTGGCTGTCTGTGTAGGGTGGCTGGGGTGAAGCCGTGATGGACAGGAGTCCTTGGGGACACCCCACCTGGGCCCAGGTAGTCAGCTTCTGGGAGATAAGAAACATGACAAACTGGATGGTGGTTGTAAAAGAAAAAAGAAAAGAAAAATCCTTGTTTTCCTCCCTCTGAAAGCAGAAGGGAGGGCTTTGGCCAAGCTGTGACTCTGGGAAAGCAGCTTCATCAGGCCACAGCTACCATGGGACATTTGCTTTCTGGAGCTCAAGAAGTGAAAAGAGCACAGTTCAGAAGCAGGGAGGTTACTAGCACTGGCCTAAGCTAAAAGGGAATCCGTGGGCACCCCAAGACTCAGCTGGTAGAGTCTTGGAAGTTAGGAGAGAAGCTAAACAGAGAGAAGCCTACCGAAGAGAAGGGCTACAGCTTATGGTTGTTGCATGGAGAGGAAGTTTGCACAGATTTCTTTTTATATACAAGGAGACATCCCATTTACAATTAACACATTCCTGTGGTAGTTTTGTTAATTATATTGTAAGCATAATTTGTGACATGAGTACTGAGAAATGATGGGGGTCAAGGTAGACTGAAGTTGTGGGAGAAGTACACACCCTCACCAAGCCCAGCAGGCTAATTACCTACAGGCGATCCCGTACAGTTGCAAAACTGCTGAACTGTGTTGGTTATAAAACCAGTGATTCCTACTCACAGAAGGTCTTCTTGCAATGGGAAATTGGACAGAGCCCCCATTTTCAGAAAATGTGAACTATGAAAGGCAACTTAAAATGCCTCCTGTCCTAGAGACCTTTTCAGTGCTGCCTGCCTCCAGCTTGTCCATCTACACTGTTCACTTTCACCACGAGGATTCAGTTGGGGAGGATGGGCAATTGGGAGCAGTGCCTGGGACTCTTCAAGTCTTGGGGTGTTCAGAAGCCAGGGGGTTCCCCATAGTCAACTAGTGCTCTTTTATTTACAGATTGGAGGCAAATTTGTGGCTTGACCATTTTTTAAATGATTGATTTTTAAGTAAAAAATAATTCACTCAAAATTAGTAGAGCTTGTTAATAAGTTGGAAAGTTACTGTGCATACTCAAACCTCTTTGGACTTCTAGAAATTAGAAAATGCTGTGGCATCTGTTTTCTTTAATTTTTATCCTCATCTTTTATAGAGGACTGGAAGTAGGAATGATTTTTACCTATTCAACTTAGATAATTCTCTTGTTTAAATATTTGGATATTCATTTTATAGATTTTGATATAAGACGAAGAAGCAGTTTACACATGGATGAAATTGGTTTTTATTTTTCCCTTTGATATTTTTAAGAAAATATTTTCTATAGGTTATAAAAACATTGTTGTGTATTTGGAATCAGAGATTCTTATCAATTAGGATGCTTTGGGCTCCAAGTAGTTAGTTGATCCAGAGGCTCAGCAGTGTCTCCAAGGATCTTGATTTTCTCTCTTGTCTCCATCCTGCTGCCTTGAGCATTGGCTTCGACCCAAAGCTAGCTAGCTCCCTTGTGATCTGCAGGTGGCTGCAATTCCAGGTGCCATGTACATACAAGGCCACCAGAGGCAGGACGGGCCTTCTTTTCTGGTATGTCCTTAGAAGCAAGGAGAAAAATTACCCGGAAGCCACCAATTAGACCTCTCCCTACACCCCCTTGGCTAAAACCCTTTACGCACCCTCTCCTAAACAAGTCACTGGTAAGGGGAGCAGGACAACCAAAGTGAGCTCACGTCTGGCAGGCTCATCCTGAGAGAAAAAGCACGTTTGATCCCGGGGCCAGGGAGAAAGCCGCAGTGAGGGCCAAGCCGCCGCATTTCAGCTCTGAGGCAGAGCATGAACAGGGCTCTGCCACGTTGATGGCAAGGCTTTCTACAAGCTTTATTTCTAGGAATCATAATATTTAATCAATTAAGGGGAGACCTCCCTGAAATAATGAAAAATGTGAAGACTGAAATTCATTTTTATAGCTTTTAAGTATAGGTAGATATGAAGTGTGTCTTTATTATTTTTATGTAGATATTGAAGAAGGACTGCCCTAGATGGTGAGAGATTTTCAGGAGTTCCTGGGAGATGATGCATAGGAAGGGTCGACTCTGTGGAGGAGTAATGGAGAGGAAAGCCACTTGTGAGTGGTGGCAGTGGACATGTGACAGGCAGGACCTTTCTCGGAATCAGTTTAAGACCAGAAAGTGGAACCTGGTGAATCTTGGGTAGTGGTTGTCTGACTCCCATCTGTGGACAGATCCTGGGGAGCTTGTTAAAACCCTGTACTACAGTGTGACCTCGTCCACTCAAGCCCAGAGTCAGATTTCATTTCCAGAGATGCTCCGATTTCACATTTGGGCCTAGAGCATCTCCAAGCAATCACACTTTGGTGAATTCCCATGTGTTCTGATGTAGGAGGTCCACTGACAGCTCCTCTGAACATGTAGGCCAACTGGTCTACAGCAAACCCCTCTAGCCAGCTGGCCTTGTATGAGCAGCATTCACAGAGGCATCTATAACCTCAGGCTAAAGCAGTGAGTGCAGAAGCTGGAGCCAGGGAGCTGGGGTCCCCACAGCTCAAGATGAAACTCAGTGCCCACCTCAGATAGCATAACCTGCTCCTTTGTACAACCTCCAGAACAGCCGAGGGTGAAATGAACAGGAAAGCAGACAGGCAGAGGCTCTTAAAGCTGGGGTGAACACACAATGAAAAGTTGGTGTGTAAGGAAAAACATACTCCCCACACACCCCCAAATTGGTTAGGGGTTGCACGGGGAAATTTTAATACCTTAGGAAATTGGTAAATAGCAACACAGGGATAACTGATATCCTCCAGAGTATGTCCAGAATTGTAGCCTAAAAGAAAAACTATTAGGAAAAAAGAAGCTATTAGGAATTTGAGACATTAAAAAAAGATCATAAAAATGATGATCCCCTTTTGTTAAAAGTGTATATGAGTGATAACACACATGAGGGCTTAAGTCCCCAGAGTGGACGTTTGGAAGGACTGCAGCAGCACCTCCGGGAGTGAGCAGGAGTGAGCATGGGGTGTGTGTGCAGATTCTTACTTCACCCTGTACACCTACACATTGTGTAGTTTACAGTATAGATATGTTTGTTCTCATGTATGTCATCAAAAGAACATATTCACTTAAGGTGGTTTGGATTTTGTCAAGTACTAATGAATATGGTGGTCCCCACCCCTGATCTTTAAGGGGATATATTCCAAAACCTGTGGACGCCTCAAACCATGGGTAGTACCTGACTTCTCATATAATATATGTGTATATACATGTTTCCTATATACACATACTGTGATGAAGTTTAATTTATAGAATAGACACAGTGAGAAATTAACAAAAATAACAAATTATAAAATAGAACAACAATTATAGTGACATACTATAACGGGACGTGTGGGAATGTGGTCTCTTAATCTTGGAACATCTTATCATATGCTCCCTTCTGGCAAGATGCCTTGGTGCTGCATGCTAAGATGGAGTACCGCAAATGAGGTATAGGCATGGGGACATGTAGGTGTGGGAACATGTAGCTGTAGACCAATACAGAAGGATCACTTAGTCACTGGCACTGAGGTGCCAGGACAATCAACCTGGGGCTGGAAGTGGGCAGCACACACAGTGTGGATGTACAGAGAAGCAGGTAGTTTGTGCCTAGGGCAGGATGAGATAATAATGACATCTCATCACACTACTCAGAACTGTACACGACTTAGAAGTCATGAATGTTCATTTCGGTAGTATTCATTTTAACATTTTCAGACTGTGTTGGGTAATGGAAATTGCAGACAGCAAAACCACAAAGAAAGCGTGTCTAAAGTGGTGTAATGGATGATTTTCTAACTTAGAGACCTTCATTACGTACTTACACTTGACTTTCATTAACAGCCACTAATTAATTAACTAGTTAATTCTTGCTTAACTAATAATTTGAGCAATAACAAGCTTACAAACAACAAACATTGTTAATTTGTAAAGCTCTTACTTGACCTCTCAGCGACATCTGACTTGGCCAATCTGTTCTTGGACCATTCTCTGTTTTTGAGATTAAGTATCAAGTTCTGATTTTCTTCTTATCTCTGCTCACTTGTGAGCAATTTTTGTCTGGCAAGCCTAAAGTAGCCTGGTGACATTCCAGTGGCAGTGTCTAGATCTACTTTCCACCTGCCCTAACTTGAACAAGCTCATTTCACTTCATTTATTCATTCAATACAGAATGTTATTGATGGCTGACTATGTGCCAGAATGGTTGTGTGCAGTACTATACACTGGATTGGCAGGATCCCAGAAAGCCACTTAGATAATTTCAGGTAATGCTAAGTGCTGCAGAAAATATAAATAAAATAGTTAGGATGTGAGTTAAGGGGAGGGGTGATGTACTTGTGCTGGAAGGACCAAGACAGAAGCCCTGAGCAGAAGGCCTTTTGAGTTAAGCTTTGGAGAACAGAATGGAGCTAGCCATTCTAACATACCAGCATCTGAGACCAGGAGATCCAGGACTTTTATGAGTTCAAGGAACATGAAGAAGCCCAATTATGATAGAACAGTGGCTCCCGAAGATTTTAATGTCCTAATCCCTAGAATCTTTGTATTCCTTACATGGCAGAAGGAACTTTGCCGATGTGATTAAATTAAGGATTTTTGAGAAGGGAAGATTATCTTGTATTATGCAGGCACATCCCACGTAATCACAGGAGTCCTTGCAAATGGGAATCAGGGCAGGGGTTCAGAGTCATGAAAGTAGTTGTGAGGGCGGAAGTAGAGATTGCAATCATGTGATCTGAAGACTCAGGAAGAGACTAGGAGCCAAGAAATGCAGATGATCGCTTATATTTTGACATATCCTTCTAGTCCATTTTTCTAAGTGTTTAATACTTTTAAGGTAATTTGTGTCATACTTTATGTCCTGTTTTGCAAACTTTTCTACTCAGTGATATATCCTGGATATTTTTATGTGTCATTATATATTTGTGGATGATCATTAAATACATAGTATTCTTAACCTGGATGAACAATAATTTATTCACTAATCCCTTATCTTAGAATGTGCAAGTACTTCTCTTTCATAAGTTAGTACTTAGAAAATTCATATAGACAAAACTTTTTATTCACTATTATTTCCTTGGGACAATTTTTGCTAAAATCAAATATTTAATTATTGCCCCCCAATAAGATTATACTGATTTATTTATATCAGCAATATTTGTAAAGACCCATTTTTCCACTCTCTAACCAATATTGAATTTATAACTTTAAAACTTGATAAGAAATTGTACCCTCATATTTATGGCTTCTTTCCTTTGTGACTCAGTGAACATGGCCTTTGACTTCTTGTCTTGTATTTTATAATATATGCATATTTTCTTCCCGAGCTATTTGAAGATACATCCCACACAACATGGCCCTTACCTCTGCACATTCCAGCCTGCCTTTCCTCAGGACAGTGGAATTTTACATAACCACCATGGAGTCTTCAGTGTCATAAATCAACATGTAGTTCTTTAATCTGCCAAAAATATTTCAGTTTCATCAGTTGACCCAATGATGTCCTCTGTAGCATTTTCTCCTTTAGTGCAGGATCCAGTGTAGGGTCAGTCTGCTTGTATCTCTCTTCAACCTTCTTTATCAAACTGTCTTTCCACAGACTGTCTTTGTCTTTTTATGACCTTGACATTTTTGAAGAATGCAGAACTCCTCATGCTTTTTTAAAATAAAAGTTTTCCTCATTTTTTTATTGGTCTGTTTCCCGTGATTGGATCCTGTGTTTCTCAACCAGAAAACCAAATAGGTGGTTTTGGCTCCTTAGCCATCTGGTTCTTCACTGGAGTGAACTGACCCCAGAGGAGTCACTAACATGCATGGGGACAGGAGTGTGATTACCCCCAACCCAGTGCAGTCAGGTGCATATATGCCCTTCCTACAGGGGAGAGGACTTGGGGTAAGGAAGTTTGAGGGGTCATCAGTGATTTTAGGTGAATGAATGGATCCAGTGCTCAGACAGTATAGAACAAGATTTGGGGGGAAATTGAATGGGTCTGGGAAATGGGAAATAGCTTGTGACAGAATCTGTCCAGGTATGGTTTCCTTCCTGAAGATGCACATTTAGTTAGTGAAAACTCAAGGAAGGGACCAGAGGTGATTCTTTTCTTCTTTGGCAGTTCCAGTCTTTAAGTGGAAAAGGCCACCTCAGAATAAAGCCTCTTCCAGCACCTGCTGCTCTCCAAGGGTCTTGAATTTAAAATAACCAGCATACAGGGGTGCCATTTTTTGGTGGTATTATTTTCTGAGCCCCAACAATGGTGATGTGTCTTTCTCAGTGCATCACATCTGAAGGCCTGATAATCATCTTCCCTACTGGTAATTTAGGTCTTCTGGTCCAAGTATCACTCAGTTTTTCTAGTATGTAATTAATGATGTGGGAGAAGATTGTTCTTCCCCTTCAATGAATAACAATTCTAGAAGAAACATTTTAAATGCATGAAAACACTCTATTCATCAAAATTTATTTCTAGATATAAGATCCATTAATGCTTTTTGCCTGATCAGTCCTTACTATAGCCAGTGGTTGCTGAATGGTGATTTTCCAGTTTCTAACCATCTGCCTCGTGTTAGCTCTCAGTATTCTGCTCTAAGCAGGTGACTCCTTCTTCCAGTCATGTGTCCACTTGTTTTGTAGACTTGTGAAATCCTGTTTTTTTTTTTTTTTTATTTAAAAAAAAAAAAAACGAGGGCTGGTGATGTGGCTCAAGCGGTAGCGCGCTCGCCTGGCATGTATGCGGCCTGGGTTTGATCCTCAGCACCACATACAAATAAAGATGTTGTGTCCGCCAAAAACCAAAAAAAAAAATATATAATAAATAAATATATAAAATATATATATATATATATATATATATATATATATAAATTCTCTCTCTCTCTAAAAAAAAACAAAACCAGCGGAATGCATTACAATTCTTATTATATGTATCCAGCACAACTTTTCATATCTCTGGTTGTATATAAAGTATGTTAACCTAATCAACAAATGGGCCAAGGACCTGAACAGACACTTCTCAGAAGAGGATATACAATCAATCAACAATATATGAAAAAACGTTCATCATCTCTAGCAATCCTGTTTTTAATGGTTGATAATTCAGTTCCTTGCTGTGTGGCTTTGGTACTGAGATTATCCTAGGAATAGCTAGTGGGAATTTCTTCAAGCTAGTTTCTCTGGTCCCATATCTTTTTAAAGTATTTTTTTACTTTCTGGCATAACGAGATGTTTGAATGTACCTTCCCTGTCCCACCCCTACAATCTTCCATTTCACTGAGTAGTCCTGGCTCTTGAGTGTGTTCCTGTGCTACCTGACTATGGTGATGGTGTCCTGAGTGTATACACACATCATTCCTATCAAATTGTATGTTTTAAAGATATGCAGTTTGTTTTATGTAAAAGCAACACCTTAATAGAACCATCTTACAAAAAGGGTGCAGTGGAGAAAATAGAATATTTTAAGGCATTAAAATAAGAGAAAAATTAAAATATAGTTTTGGGGGCATAAAACATCAAAAACAATCAGAGTAATTACCACAAAGTTCATGAGAATGGTTACTTTTAGGGAAGAGGTGGCTGCCTATGATTGGGCCCATTATCATGAAGCGCTGCTAGAGTAATAGGTAAGGTTTTATTTTTTGGCTTGGATAACAGATACCAAAGTGTCTCCTTATAATAATTCACCATATTATATATTTGTTTTATGCAATTTTCTTACAGCTTAATGTATTTTATAATAAAAAGTTTAAAAACAAATGAATGCTATGTATGTTCATGATGATTTTTATATAATTTTCTAGAAATTAAAATCATATTTCAAGTAGGGCAGACCCATTTATAATCTAATAGATTTTATGACACAGTTTATTAGCTATTTTGAAAATTCAGAAAATGATTCAGCATAGTTAATGAGTAGTCTAAATAAATTTAAACTGAAATGCTAGTCTTTCTTAATGTTTTGATTGTTGCCATAAAACCCAATCATATAAGTTAAAAACAAGTGTTTATTTAAGATTTAAAATTTCCATTTTGTTCTTTTTAATAGTTTTTATTTCTCTGCTGAAATGTCTCATCTTTTCATTAATTACAGATTTTCCTTTATGTCTTTGAGCAGAGTTAAAATTGCTCCTTTAAAGTCTTTGTTAATTTCAATATCTGAGTCATCACAGAGTCAGTATCTATTAACTATTTTTCTCTTGAGAATGAGTCACACTTTTCTCTTTCTTTATATGTTAAGTAATTTTTTACTGTAGTCTGGACATTGTGAATATTATAGTGATTCTGGATTCTGTTATATTCCTCCCCCAAAAAATGGTTAGTGGTGGGGTGGTGCTTTCAGTAGCCTGTTCCCTTGGTTTCAAACTACAGCTCTGTCTCTGGGCAGCAGCCCCATCTCATGTCAGCTGTTTTAACTGGGCTGCTTGGAATCTGCCCTGTGCAGAGCTCAGCAGAATTTACATATAGTAAATTCTCCCTCTCTGGAGCCCCCTTCATTTTCCAGCAGCTGTGGTTACTTCAAACACTGTGCTCTGGTTCTTGAGGCCAGAAAGACTGGCGTTTTCTACCAGGGTTTTAATTCTGCCTGGTGCATCCTGGGCCCTGCCCTGGGACACAGCCTGAGCCTATACTGTCCCCTCATCCCAGTGCCAGCACTCCTCCAGCGTCTGTTCTTAATAGAACCAGTCCTTTCCAGTCCCTTTACCTAGGGGTTCTTTGTTCAGATTCTGTTTTGATTAGTTTTGTCCAGAGTTGATTATTTTTATTGAAATATAGACTTGTCTGATAGAAGCTAATTTAGCCATTAGAAAAGTGGATTAAATGCTTATTTCTTTAAAGACATAATAATATAAAGATCTTAAATTCTTTTTGTGGATGAGTAAAAATAATGATAGCTAAAAATGCTTACACTTTATTTGTAACATACTACATTTTAACTAATTTAAAATATTTTATTACTTTAGGAATAAATCTAATGAAGCTGATGAATGTCAAAGAGAACTAAGGAAACTGAAGTTTGAATCCATTATTTCTGAATCACGGTATACACTGCAAACTTTTAATTGATATTTTTATAATTAAATTTGAAAACATTATTTAAAATGGACTTATCTTTTCTTTTTAGTTGTTTACATGTGTAATACCTAACCCAGTGTTATCGTGTCCTATGATTGTTCCTTGATTTTGCCTCTACATAGAGGGGAAAGCTCAAGATCACAAAGCTATCATGTTCTAAATATCTTTACTTTTTAAGGTTATAGTTACAGTCTCTAATTTCAAATGAGCTTTTCATATACCTTTGATAAATATAAAAACATACTATCTATGGAGCTAGGGTTATGGCTCAGTAGTAAAGTGCTTGCCTAGCAAGTATGAGGCATGGGGTTTGACCCTCAGCACCACATAAAAATAAAGAAAAGAAAAGAAAAATGTTATGATAAAGAAAAACAAAACACTATCTAATACATGCTGGTGAGATTTTTTTAATTTTTTCGGTTCCTTTTTAGGCACACTAGGCTGCTTAAAGAAAAAGAAGACTCTTTAATGACTTGTCAACAAATTTATAAAGCTTTACAGGAAGAGCTGACTGCAAAAGAAAGGCAAGAAGAAGACTCAAAGAGAATAATTAACCTCTCAGAAAGTGAGCTAGAGATAACCAAAGTTCTTCTGAATCAGACAAGACAAGAGGTCACAATGCTGAAAAATGAAAGGTGCAGTTTCTTACAAAGCTCTTTTATCTTTAAATCAGTGTCCATATATATTTGAAACACCATTATCCTACATATTTGTAACAGTGAAGTCACAAGACTAAAGACACATTTTTCTGCAAGGTCATTGCATTTCACTATCTCATTTTTTTTTTAATTTATTTTTTTTATTGGTTATTCAAAACATTATAAAGCTCTTGACATATCATATTTCATACATTAGATTCAAGTTGGTTCACTATCTCATTTTACAAGTGATTACACTGAATCCCAAGTCAGTTAATGACGTGGTTAAAGGCCTCATAGTTTAGTAAAAGTAGGGATGGAATTCAAGTCTCATTTGGTGTCAGATTAAAAGAAAAAAAAAAATCACATTCCACTAAATTTCACCTGGGCCAATGGTTGGTAAATTCTACCATTTTCAACAGAAAAAAAATATCTTTTTATCACATTATTTGTCTTGGTTTCTGAAGTGCTGGTACTGGACCCAGGGCCTCAGTATACTGGGCAAGAGCTTCATGTCACTTCTCTGCCCACCTTTCTTCCCTCCTTATCTGTCACCATTTTTTTTTTTTTTTGAGAGCATACCACAAGCAAATGTACCTCCTTAGTGATACTGATGATACTGAGAAGCATATTGGTCCAGCCTTTCAAGATATTTTTGTCCAGTTAATTTGCTTTAGATTATTAAAACTCTGCTTTCTTCCTTCCTTGTTTTACCTTGTGTGTCTTCATTCATTCTTTCTGAATCTTTTTGTTTCAAATGCATATCTGCAAAGGCTTTTTGTTGCTGTTAGTTGTGGTGGTTTTAAAATCTGGGAGTCTTTTTTTTTTAATCTGGGAATCTTTAATGTTAAGAGTTTATCCCATTCACATTTATTAATAATTATTATATTCCAGAAGAACCCAAATTCTATAAGGGCAGGAATTTTTGTTTTATATTATTCTCTGTAGCAGAAAGTACATGATAAGCCATTTGTTTTTCATTGTTCCTATCATTTTTATCTTTTATCTTCATTTTATTCTATTTATGGGTATAATTTAGAAGACTTATAATTTTTTAATTCTTCTTTAAAATGGCAGCTATTTTCTGAGGAAGCATCTGGGGATAGGGCCAGGGAAGTGGGTAGCAGGCAGCTTATAATTAGGTAATTAGGTTTCATTTCTTTTCTTTTTAGATGTAAATGGACACAATACCTGTATTTTATTTATTTATTTTCACGCAGTGCTGAGGATCAAACCTAGGGCCTCACACATGCTAGGCAAGTACTCTGCCACTGAGCCCCAGCCCTAGCCCCAGGTAATCAGGTTTCTTGTCTCAGAACTCTTCTCACCAGTGCAGCCATGGGCAGAGTAGCATGAGGCCTTTGTAGTTCACAGGCCAAAGTGACTTGGCTTTGGTCCTTCTAGAGATGACTTTGCATCTACTGCCCTTTGACTGAATAAGAGGAACAATCACAGACATTCTTCAAGGTTCTCGCACGAACCTGACTTTCTTCTCTTCACTTTTCCTTCCTTCAGTAAATCCACCCTATTTCTCAGCTGAGTCAGTTAAGCTTTGATTTGACGCACCAGTAGGATCTCTTAATAGAGCTGTCCTTAAGAAGTTAGAGGAGAGATGGTCCCTCCAAGAGAAGAAGCTGGACTCAGGAAATACTTTGGACACACTGAGACTTGGCGACATCTAAGAAGATGGACTAGGTCCAGGGCTGTCTGAGAACCTGCTGTGCTACTCTAGAAGCACCACATCCCCCCAGGCTGTGGGGTATGCTTGCTCACCAAAGGCCTGAGCCCAGCTTGCTCCCAGCAACAGCGTGTGTTTTTATAAATCCAGATGGTCTCAGATAGGTGCCACTCCTCAGGACAAGGGAGCCCTTACTGAGGTCACAAAATGTGCAATTTAGAAGCTAGGTAGCTTCAGAAGAAGAGAGAAACAAACATAAAAAGCCAGAACTAAACCTAGAGGGGGTAAAAAAAAAAAAAAAAAAACTAATAGAAGTTCTGACTTGAAAGAGGAAGGGAAACAGGGACCAGGAAACAGTTCATCCATTCATACAGGCCTGTTGAACTATGCGCGGCTTTCTCCTACCCACAAAGGATTGGGTCTCTGAGGGACATGCGAGTCTACAGGTAGTGATGGTCATGGACACCTCGGGGCTGCTGAGAGCCTCGTTTTGGATGGGGAGGATGCCAGAGAGGTTCAGCGTAGTGCTGGAGAAGTGTGGCAGCTCTTATGTGGGGGACAGAGGTCTCTGAGGCTCAAGTGTGTTCTCAATTCTCTATAACAGACTTACATATATAAGGACATGTCAAAAGGACATGTGTTTTTGTCTTCTGTCATTTTTTTAACAGAAAACTATAAACCCTTTCCCCAGAAAAATACATATAAAATCCAGCAGATTTTTTCAGGATGCTCTTTCCCTTCATGTGGCATGACCCCATGACTGAACATACCTGCTTCCTCCTTCTCTTTCCCTCCTTCCCTGCCCCACTCCTTTCCTCCATCACTCCTGTTTTCTTTCCTTCTCCCTCACCTTCATTCCTCCCCAGCTGTCTCACATATAGTCCACACATTCAGCAGCCTTCGGGACATTATCTTACCTTGTCCACACACTGCCCAGGTGAGATGCCCTACACCGTTGTGTGGGGCCAGCAGCAGGGCTAAGGGGTCTGAACATCAGCCTGGACTCTGTGCTTCTGGCAACTTTCCACAGAGGAAGGTACTTATTTCCTTGGAAAAGCATGCCATCTTTCCTTGCCAACCCCTGTGTCCACAGGTGTACCCCCAGACAGAGGGAGCACTTTTTCTAATTCACCAGCCCAGAAGAGAAGCCACTTTCACATTTGCACAAAGGCCCTGGCTAGCAGAGCTGTGACCCTGACCTCTGACACAGGAGTCATTGTGTACATGTTATAGATGAGGACACTAAGGTCAACTGAGGCTACGCTCTGACTCAGGGTCCCATATTTGGCAAATTCAGGAACAAGCTCTGTTGTGTGTGACCTTAATAACTCGAGTTCTCTTCTCTCTGGTTTGCACAACTTTTCTTGAAGAGCTGTTTTCTCAGTTACTCTCCATGTGACTGCTGGTTCTCAGCCAGGTTGTAACACTAAGTCTGCAGGGAACTCACTGACCTGCAGAAGGCAGAAAACCTCGTGTTCCCATCTGTGTCCCTTCCGATTCTACTTCATGTGCACCCCATCCACTAAGTGAGTGTGAGAGGGTGTCCTCCAGCACCTTGACGAATCAGAAGAGATGAGAGCACTTGATGTTGAGCTACTTCAGTGAGGTGGACACAATGAGCAGTGGATACTATACCTAGTATTAGATATCAGAATGGCTTCGGTGATACAAGGGTTCTAGGACGTTGTGGCAGTGTGGCTTCATATAAGAAGTATGGTTGTCGAACGCAGGCAAGCACCAATTTAAATCCCAGCTTGACCAGCATGAGAGCAGGCAGCTTAACCCCTGTGAGGCTTCTTTTCTTTACATGAAAAATGGTCATATTAACAGCAGCTATCTTTTGTGAATTTTTTTTATTGGTTGTTCAAAACATTACAAAACTCATGACATATCATCTTTCATACATTTGATTCAAGTGGGTTATGAACTCCCATTTTTACCCCACATACAAATTGCAGAATCACATCAGTTACACATTCACATTTTTACATAATGCCATATTAGTGACTGTTGTATTCTGCTACCTTTCCTATCCCCTACTATCCCCCCTCCCCTCCCCTCCCATCTTCCCTCTCTACCTCATCTGCTGTTGTTCAATTCTCTCCCTTGTTTTCCCCCCATTTCCCCTCACAACCTCTTATATGTAATTTTGTGTAACATTGAGGGTCTCCTTCCATTTCCATACGATTTCCCTTCTCTCTCCCTTTCCCTCCCCCCACTCGTCTCTGTTTAATGTTAATCTTTTCCTCATGCTCTTCCTCCCTGCTCTGTTCTTAGTTGCTCTCCTTATATCAAAGAAGACATTTGGCATTTGTTTTTTAAGGATTGGCTAGCTTCACTTAGCATAATCTGCTCTAATGCCATCCATTTCCCTGCAAATTCCATGATTTTGTCATTTTTTAGTGCTGCGTAATACTCCATTGTGTATAAATGCCACATTTTTTTATCCATTCATCTATTGAAGGGCATCTAGGATGGTTCCACAGTCTAGCTATTGTGAATTGTGCTGCTATGATCATTGATGTGGCAGTATCCCTATAGTACGCTCTTTTAAGGTCCTCAGGGAATAGTCCGAGAAGGGCGATAGCTGGGTCAAATGGTGGTTCCATTCCCAGCTTTCCCAGGAATCTCCATACTGCTTTCCAAATTGGTTGCACCAATTTGCAGTCCCACCAGCAATGTACAAGTGTACCCTTTTCCCCACATCCTCGCCAGCACTTATTGTTGTTTGACTTCATAATGGCTGCCAATCTTACTGGAGTGAGATGGTATCTTAGGGTGGTTTTGATTTGCATTTCTCTGACTGCTAGAGATGGTGAGCATTTTTTCATGTACTTGTTAATTGATTGTATGTCCTCCTCTGAGAAGTGTCTGTTCAGGTCCTTGGCCCATTTGTTGATTGGGTTATTTGTTATCTTATTGTTTAATTTTTTGAGTTCTTTGTATATATACAAAGGATATTAGGGCTCTATCTGAAGTGTGAGGGGTAAAAATTTTTTCCCAGGATGTAGGCTCCCTATTTACCTCTCTTATTGTTTCTCTTGCTGAGAAAAAACTTTTTAGTTTAAGTAGGTCCCATTTGTTTATTCTTGTTATTAACTCTTGGGCTATGGGCGTCCTGTTAAGGAATTTGGAGCCCGACCCCACAATATGTAGATCGGAGCTAACTTTTTCTTCTATTAGGCGCAGAGTCTCTGATTTGATATCAAGCTCTTTGATCCATTTTGAGTTAACTTTTGTGCATGGCGAGAGAAAGGGGTTCAGCTTCATTTTGTTGCATATGGATTTCCAGTTTTCCCAGCACCATTTATTGAAGATG